CGGTGGGCGTCTCCCCGGAGCCGGCTCCCCGTCACGTGCAGGCCGGCCCCACCCGCCTACGCAGGGACACCCCCCCCTTCTCCCCCAGAGAAGGGGGAGAGTGGGGCTGGGGGCTTTGGGTGGGAAGGGGGGGTCTTCTCCCCCAGGGAAAAGTCTCCCTTTCTCTCTCTCTCTCCCCTCCTTTAGTGAAAAGACAGGCTGGGAACAAGAGAGAGGAAGGGAGGGGGGGATTCCCAGGATGGGGAGGGGTCTTTGGAAGAGAGAGACCCTTCCCCAAGCTTTCCCTCGAGTGGGAACTCCGCGTTAGGTGCCTAAGGCCGGGGATTCCGCCCGCAGGGTCAGCGGCTCGAGGGAAGGACGTGGGAAGGCGCAACACGCGGACAGCGCCTTTGGCTCGCTGCCTATGCTGTTAATGTGGACAGTACCCAATCCGGCCTCTAGGCGAGTCAGCGAGGGGAAGCACGGGTATTGTAAGGCGTTGCTGCCCTCTAGCGGCCAGCCTGTGCTTTGCAGCTTTAGAAGAAAATAAAATAGAATAAGAGAGTTGGAAGGGACCTTAGAGGTCTTCTAATCCAACCCCCTGCTTAGGCAGGAAACCCTACTCCACTTCAGACAAATGGCTATCCAAAATCTTCTTAAAAACCTCCANTGGGGGCAATATGCTGACTCTGTAAACCGCTTAGAGAGGGCTGAAAGCCCTATGAAGCGGTATATAAGTCTAACTGCTATTGCTATTGCTATGAAGTGCCACTATAATTAGACCACATTGGTGGCTGGTTTTGGAAAACGCTAAAAGACAATAAATGTCAGATTGAATGAGGGTTCTGGGTCAACTGCTATATTGTATTGGCTTAAAAATAAATAAGAAAAAAAAAAGGTTGGATTCAAATTTAGTAATTCCTTGCAATGGCCAAACAGGACTTAAATTAATCCTGAGGTTCTGAATTCAGTGGATGTAGTCTATGCAAATGAAGATAGTATCCAATCAATGTAGTGTGAATATGAATGAATAAAAAAATGAATAAATATAAAATGGTAGTAAAAGGTTTTTAAAGGTTTTTTTTTTTTTTGGAGATTTTATGTTTTTATTAGAATGGTATTCTAACTTAGTATATTTTATTACAATAATATTTTTTTATTAGAAAACAATATTTCTGTCATTTATTATCTTTATATTTGCAAAAGCTGGGTTTTCAGTTACATGGGCACTCCATTCAGACTGAGAAATCTGGAGTAGAATATCATATACATATTACTTCTCATTTATCAACACCAGGCACCAGAAAATAATTTTCATCATTGGAAGATAGTCTAATCTGCTTTTCAATGAGACCTAATGGGGACAAATGTGCTTTATTAAACTGCTAGATCTCATACATTTCATTACAACTGTTTTCTAAATTTTTTTTTAAAAATAAAGCAAAATAATTGAAAGATTAGCACAAGTCCTTTACTATATAAAAATAACATTTATTACTGCTGTAAAAAAAGAAAATCTGTTCTATATAGAAGCTATTCATCTGGCAATCTAAATTGTAAGAGTTTCCAGGACATTTGAAAAAAACGTTCCTAGTATAAGACATTAAAAATACAATTTGGAAATTTAAAATACTATCTTAAGTCTTATAGAAACAGAGAGGTAGACAGAAATATACATCTATGTTGGAAATATGCACTTTGCTATTATATTGGATTTAAAAAAAATGTATGTAGAATATTTTATTTAAAATGTAATATTTTCAGATGCTATTAATGAATGTTAAATCCATTTTCTTATGTTGTCTTTTCCGAATTAATTTTCCAAAGTTCCAAGTTATCCCAACACCAAAACTTTGCTTGGTGCGAAAAAGACTATTATGCAAAATGTTTTATTACTATCAGTGGATATTTCAATGGATGCAGCTTCAGAAATGTGATTCCGGAGTGCAACACCACTTGGTGGTTCAGACATAAGATTTCAGTAAAGCCAATATTAATACACAGTAGATGTTTTTGTGGCCCAGGGATCCATTTTTTTTCTCTTTTTCTCAAATGTATTTATTTTCTATGATGAGAACAACCATCCATTATGAAGAATTGTTCACACAAACTGATAGTGTAACAGTAATATAGTATCTGTAAGAGAAGTCATTGGGGGCAGAGTCAAGTGAGTAATTAGCTTAGATGCATTCCCACAAATTGTCCAAGTCCAATTCCTCTTGAATTTCTTTGATTCTTATTTGTGCCAATTTAGGGCTGACCATTAGTTAACTGGATTCTTGTGTAGAGGCATGAGCAATAAATCATATTAATTGGAATTTTATATGGGGTCCAATTTTTGCACCTGACAGTATCCGAATACATCAACATGCAATCTCCCAAACTTGGGGAATATCCTTCCAAATACCACATATTGGTACTTACATGTGTTCTGAATATATATTATAGCACTAGTCAACTGTTTCTCATTTCCATTAAAGCACTGCAAATCTTTCACAATTAGTTGGATTGACTTTACATGCATCATTTGACCCAATTTCAATTACTCTTCTAATATTTTATATTTTTCTCCTTCTTCTTACATTTAAAATATAAAAACTCTGAACTGGCAACAATTTCAGGTACACCTGCACAATGAAGAAATGAAGTAGCTTACATTCCAAGACCTCAACTCTTGTTACTGATTATGCACTTTCAGCTGTAGTTAATATTTTATTCATAAATGTTGCATCCTAATTTTTGACTCAGCTGCTGCTACTGCTGGTTCGCTCCGGGACGCGCTATGCATGCATGCACAGTACTTAAAAAAATGTTTCTGCGCATGAACAGAAGCAAAAAACAAGATGGCGGTGCCTATGGCACCGCTGAGAGAACTGGTTCGGGGGCATGGCAGGCCAAGTTACTACCTACATGGCCGAACTGGTCTGAACCAATAGGAACCCACCTCTGTCCAAATGTCATCACAATTTAGGACCCACGGGGAAGGCAGGAGAAAATGTTCAATAAATAAAAAGTAGACCTCCATTGCTTTTGTAGCTGGGATGATAAGGAGACTGAAATGAAGCCTTTCTTTTGGGACATCTGTGATTGACAAGTGACTTGAAACTTAGGATTTAAGCTGAATCAGTCTTACCACTATGTCTGTGGGTCCAAGGGCTTTACAGGTGGGCTTTTTAGACTGGAGTTTACAAAAGTCAATCTGTGTGCAACTGAGAACAAACAAGTATGTACAAAAGTGTGTGTGTGTGTGTGTGTGTGTGTGTGTGTGGTTCCACCACAAAACCGCGGTAGACTAAAGCGCGCTCGACGAAAGCGCGTACGTGACGTCATCACAGCGCGACGAAAACAGCACGCTGTGAGCGGTAAACTTAAAATTAAAGGGTAAATCTAAACCTAACCTNCTTGTATAGACTTTCTATATGAAATGGAAAAAATGCGCTTATAATTTGTGATTTTGATGATTAGTAAATAAACGAATAGAAAAAAAGTGAGCTTATTTTTGCAGTCATAGGGTAAGAGATAGTTTTGTAATTGTACTATATGTGCTGCAAAAGAAATCAGAAGCTTCTTCCTATTTCTTTTTATTCTTTTTTGTGTGCTTTTTCTTTTTTTTTCTTTTTCTTCTTTTTCTTTTTATTAGTTTATGTTAGATTTTATGTTTCCTGCAAAATGTTTAGTAAAACAAAATATTAAAAAAAGAAACGTCATCTTTCCTACATATATGACAGAAGAAAACTTTCATTTTAACAGATTCCTCACTGGTAGTTGTGTACAAGCCAGTACTTATGGTTTAAAAGAAAGAGTTACGTGTCTCAACTTTCAGTCCTGGGAATTGTATAAAAAAATTAATATTTCATTAAAACCATAACCGCAGGTTTATTCATAATGAAAGATGGGAATCAGTGAAAGTAAAATTAAATTCTGATTATTCTTGACTCTATTTGTGAAGAAGAATGGAGCAATTTTTAATATTCCTACTTGTATATACAATATCAAATTATTATTTGATGTTAAAGGTGAAACCAGCCACACAGAACTCTTAATTGAAGAAGAAAGATGTAGAAACTATCAGAATGAATAGTTCAATTAAAAGATACACACACACACACGCATATTTTTTTTACTGAAATTACATAATATTTTTATTCTGTCAGTAGAAAGAAAAGAGGAGAAGGAAGCCTATTTGCTTGAACTCTAGTTCTAGTACATAACATTCTAACAAAACATGAAACAAAATAAATAATTAAGCTCAAATATTTTGCTATCAGAAATGATAACTTTCAAACCTGTGGGCTAAATATTGTAAGCTTTCTGTAAGGATGTCCTACATCTTTAAATACTGAGCAGTAGGTTATGAATTTGCTTATGAAACACTGCATCCCCCCCCCCCCGGAAGATGTAGCACTAATGCAATAAAGCATGAACTGCCATAACATGTGCATGAAGAAAGAATTCATTTCAGGAATTGCCAAGGCTGTCCTTGGAGTGGAATAAGAATGAAAACATTGCACAAGATGAATAGAAATACAAAAAAATGTTCACATGTTCTGAAAAAAATGTGCACATGTTCTGAAAAAAATATTAATTTGGTTAATAAGGAAAAAAAATATTTTTACAAGTCTGGTGCTGGACCTTGATAGAAAAAATAACTATTTGGGGCATAAATAAAGCAACGACTGCTTTGCATGCAAAATAATTCATCTGAATCATTTTTATTTTCTTATATAGAATGCATAGATTTCATCCCCGTATTTGTCTACAATCTCCTCTTTTTTTTTTGGCTTTAGGAACCCTTGTTCTATTCCCAATTGAAAATTATTTATAATTTACATTCTTTAATTTAGTGTGACCTCTATCTTATTCTGTAGAGTTGCCAATATTTATTAAGATCAGTTGCAAAATATATTAAACAACAAGGGATGATTTGTGCTCTGAAGCCAGTGTAAAACCTTTCGTTAACAAACTGGATCATGAACTAGCTCCCACAAGTAAAACCTATAATAAAGGACAATAAGAGGAAATAAATGAATTCATTTATTGACTTTGCAGAGGAACAAACTGACTCACAGATTATTTAGTTTTCATATACAACAGCTTAAAATAGTTTACTGATAGTGCAGAAATTCAGATTGCTACCTTTAAATATGTGATCACAATTTGTATCATCCTCGCCCCTTCCTGTGAGTACATATGTACATTCTGCTTGATCTGTTCCACAGTTGCCCGGGCATTAATCTACAGATCCATGAAATTTTGCTGCTCACCGATTTATTTATTTTTTGGGTGGCATTTAGATCAGGGTCTTACCAAAATAGTTTGTTTCTGTTGAAGGTCTTCATCGCTTGATGGGCCTTGATAAATTGCTGACAAATTGAACGGTTTCGGGATATCTATTCTGAGCTCTCCTTGGCGAACAGCTATGTAGGGCCTCAAAGTATCAGCTGTCACTTTCTCAAGCCAATCGAGTAGCTTCTGGAGATATTGGAAGAATGTAGTGTACTTCTCAATTGTCAAGTCAATCAATCTTTTTGTCTCACTGATGAGTGTTCCATAAGAATTGGAAAGCTGCTCATATGACTCCTGCAACTTTGCCTGCACCTGTTGGTTTCGTTCGGCAGCTCTCTGTTTGGCTACTTTAGACCAATACTGGATCTTTTCATGTGCAGTTTTAGAAAGCTCAGCAAGTTTTTCTTGGTTCTCCAGAACTTCTTTTGCTTGGTCTGTCAGGTTTATCATCCAGTTAGCAGTATCGTTTATCCATTTGGTGTGCCACTCGAGTATAGTATTAAAAAAAGTCTTCAGCCATTTGATCAGTTTTTCTTCCACTTCATAATATTTTACTGACCATCCAACAACACTTGGGTCAAAATATTCCTTCCTCAAATCTCTTATGCCGTGTAGAATGTCTTCTAACTTATTAGAAATGTCGGAGAAAGTATTCTGGATAATGTTTTCAATGCGAGGAGCGAAATATTTTACGTCACCTGCTACGCTCTTCAGGCCCTGTAAGAACATCACAAGCAGTTTTTTTGTTTGCTCTCTCAGATCGTCATAGTTTTGAGCTTGTAAGTTTCTGATAAACTCTTCTATCTTTTGGAAGACTTGCTGAATCCCTTCTTTTAGGTTTCTTAGATGTTGTGCAAAGTCAATCTCCCGGAGACCAACAAATATCTGACTAGTTTTCTTTTGTACATGGGTTAAAAATGTTTTGATTTCTGCCAGTACGTCACTGCCTTTGATTACCTCAGAGGAAGCTGGGATTTTAATTTCTGCTTTATTGACAAAGGCAACCAAAGAATCAAAATATTCCTGCACTCTTGTAATGCACTGATCTACAGCTTTTGCTACTTTTTCAGTGATTTTCACATAAAGTTCTTCACCGGTGTGCCTCCCAGGAAGGCCTGGTACCTGGAATCTTGTTACTTTCAAAAACTCAATGGCGGAGTCAATGAGACGTTTGATTTGTTTATGGTATTCTACTATTGCATCCATTATGGCATCCCAAAATTGGGCTCTGATCTGGTCATAATCTATTTGGCTAGCTTGGTCTGCAGCTTTGTTGTATAGCTTTCTGGATTGTGCCTTAATCTGTTCGTATTGTCCTGTGACCTGATTCGTTACTTCATGAAGCTGTTGTTCTAATTCACTGATGCTGTTTACTGTGTTCATGTATGTGCTGTCAATATTTCTTCTCAGAGTAGTCTTCAGTTTTGAGGCAGCAGAGCTGATTTCCATGCCTGTATGTTCACGGTGGTACTTGTCAGCAACATGGTACAAAGCATCGGCCATTTTAGGGACCTTCTCTTTTAAACCTTCAAGGAACTCTGGAACAGCATTTTCTTCCCAGTTGGTTTTGATTTGAATCAGTTCTGGATTTTTGAAGGATATTTCACTTTTTAAGATATCCTTTTCATTCCGAGGGTTAGACTGTAAATGCAAAATAAAATTTGTATGAAGGATTTTCTACTTTGTTACGGAACAAGACATTTACTCACTGTTGCATTAAATGAAATCAGTTATATTTTGGCTGGTTTTATAGTATCATGAAAGAATTTGAAATGAAAAAGCACAGCATATAAAAATATAAGTAACGTGTCTACCTTGTTGGCACAAGCATTTCTTTTCAGAGCAATCATCCACCCATAATACGATGATTCAATTTATGAATTGATATAGAATTGTTAAAAATGTACCATTTTATTAAAAAGTACTCAAATGATTCAGTTTCTTAAGTCCTTGGCCAACACTTTGCATTTTGATGTTATTTCAGATTTGATTTTAAATCCAGATAGCTAATGACAGATATGATGGTACTGATAATTAGCAGAATTGCAACAGAACAGAAGGGACAGGTATCCTAGGATCTTTTATTTATTTATTTATTTGTTAAATTTATTTGCCACCTCTCTGCCAAGAATCTTTTGAATGGATGGATCAGGCCTAATCAGTCCATGTTGCTTTAACATGTGCTGGTACTTGTTGTATCCCATTTCCCATTAATGAGTGTTAGGCTTTTTTAAAAAAAAATTCTTAAACATTTCAGTTCACTGACAAACGCGCACCCGACAAAAGTGCACTGACAAAACCGCGGCGAGAAAACCGCGACGTCGAAATTGCGCCCACAACAGCGCACCAACAAATGCCCGCTGACAAAAGCACGCCGTCAACAAACAACGTGAAAACAAGGTTATGACCCTAACCCTTACCCTTACCTTAACCCTAATCGTGCTTTTGTGGGCGCACATTTGTCAGCGCGCTGTTGTGGGCGCGTTGTTGACGTCGCGGTTTTATCGCCGCGGTTTTGTTGGCGCGCTTGTGTCGGGCGCACATTTGTCAGGTCACGAAACATTTCTACTGGAAATTACAGATACTAGTTCTGTTTCTATTTTTCGGTCTTTTAAAGAAATGGTAATAACAAACTGAACTACACATCTGCTGTAGATGTATTACAAAAACCCTTAAGCACTGAATGGGAAAAAAAAGTGTTATGGCTACAGTGCTCATTCACTGAGTTCTGTTTAAAGAGATCTTGAACTGCATCACAATATCTCTCTTGTTCATATTAACCAAGGAGAGAAGCAACCTGGAACTAAGAAGAAATTTCTAAGGATGACAGGATAGCAGTATTCCAATATGTGGGGATATGAAGAGGGTGTCAAGCTATTCTCCAAAGCACCTGAGGGCAGGACAAGAAACAATGGATGGAAATTAATCAAGAANGCCAATTCACATTATCAAATGCTTTCTGAGCATCTAAAAACATCAAAGCCATTTGTTCTTTGGGGTGCGCCTCATAATACTCCAAAGTATCCAGAATTATTCTCATATTATCTTTAATTTGTCTTTTTGGTAAAAACCCATTTTGGTCAGTGTCTATTTGAATAAAAAGTATATTGTTTTTTTGTGGGATTTCTTTCTCTCCAGACATCTTTTAGATTTATTTCATCTGTCATTTTTTAAAAAAAGGATTTTGGGAGTGGATTTCTATTTAGCTTTGTTGTTTTTTGTATTTTATACTCCATGTTTTGATCTACAATTCCATTAAAATCTCCCATCATACAAATTTCAGCATAGTCCAAGTCAATTATTTTCCTGTGTAGTTTTCTATAAAATTCATCTTGTTTATTGTTAGGAGCATAAATTGCAATTAAAAGTATTTTCTTGGTGTTTCCATAATTTCCATCATCAAGATTCTTCCATCGTCATCTGTATAAATTTGTTTTGCTGGAATTGTGTCTTTAATGTAAAAGATCACTCTTCTTTTCTTACAGCTTGTCAATGTGGTAAATATTTTCCCAAGTTTTGGCTGCACTAATAAATATTCATACTGTTTTTGAATATGCACTTCTTGTAGACAGATTGTATCCAATTTTAATTTTTCTAATTTGTGGACTATTCTTCTTCTTTTAATTACTGAGTTAAGTCCGTTTATATTGATTGTAATCATTTTTTCTCTTCCATGTTTATATTTTATAAGTAGGATTTATAGCTCTAGTTCATCTCGGTTTTTGTGGTTCTCTAATATTAACACTGCCTACAGCACCTTCTTCTGTTTCAATCCTGCCTACAGCACCTTCAACTTTCTCAGTCTCAACTGTGGATGTCTCTTGGAGTTCTACCAATAATTCTTTTTTTCCAGCCTTCTCAGCCTTCCCTTTCAGATGTTCTATGAAGAATGCTTCTGCTTTTTTGGTTGTGTCTATTCTGTATCTTTGTCCTTGCCATGCAAATATTAGACCTTCTGGTATAAGCCATCTATAATTGACACCTTTTTAAAGTAGAATCTTAGTCAGGAATTGATATTCTCTTCTTGTCTCTCTCACTCTTCTTGCAATTTGTTTCAAAATTACAATCTCCTTG